AAGCGCAGAATGTATGGCTCGTGTTTCGATCCTGATCATAAATATATTGGCAAGAATGGGCAAAACAGGATTGCTCATACTTAAACCATCTATTTGAAGGAAATGTTCGTTGTTGAAAATTCTAAGAGAGAAGCAAAAAGTGTGCTGGGGATGTGAATTAACTTGTTGGGGTCATTAATGAAAAGGTCGAGTGCAATATTGCAAGCTTCATTGGCGGGGACTTCGATGAAGAGTTACACGACATCGAAACTAGCCATTAAGGCTTTCGAATTCGAAAAGAAATTTCAGTTTAAGCCTATGACGAACTATGAAAAAGTAATACCAGTAAATTTCTAGCAATCTATTATAAAAAACTAGACAGTCAACTTTCTTACAAACTAAAACTTGTATCAGTATTTGAAGCTATTACGGACTGTATCTCCTAAAATTGACAATTTTTTGTTCTATTGACAAACTTAGGCCTCTGTAATGAGATTAAAGTGTTGTACACCCCAAGAAAGTGTTATCAAAGAACAAAACAAAGAAACAATACAGTTTACTCTGCTTTTAAATAAGACCTTCTAGCGATTGAAATAGCAAGTAAATATATAGTTAAATAAAACGGTATTTGTGATATGCACCTGCTTGTTTAGCGTTACACAGATATCTATTTAGGGTTAGAATGATTAACTTAGACTTGGCACAAACAGAAAATGGCTGATATATTGTTTATTAGTTGTTTAAACCAACTAGGTATACACACACAATCTTTGTTAAATAATCTTAAAAGGTACAATTTAAGCCGTGGCCGAAAATGGTTCTTGGAAAACTGGAAATACATACAACAATTACTGTGTAAAGCCACCTATTGGAAACCTATTTGTTACCATAGTTACAAAATGAACAATAAACACGCAAGCCTGGAGTTCGACTGTTACTTGAATTAAACAGTGCTGTCAAACGAGGCTAACTTGTATTTCTGCACTAATGTTTCTATATTTCCAAAGATAATTTATGCGTTATTTGAAACTTCTGTGTCTCCAAGTTAATGAGGGAATACAGATTGTGTATATTTTCGACCATAATAGTTTAGCAAAGTCTTTAATAACACGTACCAAGTTTACAGTTGCCAATAGTAAAAATGAGCAAACAGAATTTTTTTGATCTTGTTTTGATCAGAAATACATCTGGAAAGGATGATAAGTTTGATATTGGTTTAAAAGGGAATATCGTAAACCTCATAAATTTGAGTCTGTAACAGAAATTACTGTAAATTTAATAATAATTATGATGTAACCGCCTTTTCTAAGCCGGCGAAACATGATTATAAATAATTACACTTGTCATATGATATTAATATTAGGCCTATTATAGTTTTTTAACGTTACATATTGTTACGTGTCCGTTCGTTAGTTAAATTTCCGTAAATTTGTTCCGACGAAACTTTAGCGACACAAGTCTTTTCTTAAATAAAACTGGTTTATTCTTTCTGAATACAACTTTCCGATACACTTAATTTCAACAGTCGCGCTATAACAAACGCTATAATTCACCACGAACGTCTCACGTGCTCAACATTATTCTCACTCATACAATTACACACACTCTCCCGTCACGTTGTGACCGTCTTATATATATACC